TTGTTGTCTTGCCTAAATGTGATTCTTTGCCCACCAGATCTTATTCTGTTTTCTTTCTCTGTGATTATTTTTCTGCTGCCAACTGCTCTGCATTCACCGAATCGATCAAATGCCAGTTGTCTTCTAGGTTGGATTTTAAATTATCAACTTCAAACTGTTTTTGTGACATTGTTTTCTGTTTTCTTTGTGACAAAAACTTTTGTGGTAAATCTTCTTTTACACATTCCCTGGATCACTCCAGCACTTCATGGCACCTTTTTGCCAGCAGGGCAAATGGTTCTGAATATATCAACTAAATCAGGGGTAGTCAACCTTGGCTCTTTTATGACTTGTGGACTTCAATTCCCAGAATTCCTGAGCCAGCTTAGCTTAGCTGGCTCAGGAATTCTGGGAGTTGAAGTCCACGAGTCATAAAAGAGCCAAGGTTGACTACCCCTGAACTAAATAGTTTCCCACATAGTGGTATTTCTTTAAAAAAAACAGAGGTAGACAACGTCTGTAATAGGAGATGTGACTGCAGGATGTTACCAACCTTCAAGCAAATAGGAATTTTTAATCCAAAGTTGCCTCCAGAGGGGAAGTAGACCAGTTTGAAAAATACAACTGAAAAATAAACTGATAGATCAGATTAAGTAGGATATGCTCAATCAACCTGCCCCAGTCAGTTTGCTTAATGAATTCCAGAAGGTTGCTCAGTAAGATTTTGGGAGGATACATTGTATATTACCATCCTTAAGTACTCTCTGATCCTTGAGATAGCATGATCCCAGAATCCTGAGAGCACATGAGCTCAACCCTTTTCCAACCTCTCTCCTTGATCTTGCCAAATAACATGAGTCAGTTAGACCTTTGGGCATCTCTTTTTAAAATTCATTTGAGTCCCTCAAAAATATTTCTAAACAATACCATCAGTCCTAAAAATGTAAGAGTGGTGATAATTCTTGTTTACAAAGTGCACAAGGGGAAAGCAAATAGAACATAGAATAACAGGGACCTTGGAGGTCTTCTAGTCCAACCTCCTGCTATACCAGGGGTAGGCAACCTCGGCTCTTTTATGACTCATGGACTTCAACTCCCAGAATTCCTGAGTCAGCTCTGCTGACTCAGGAATTCTGGGAGTTGAAGTCCATGAGTCATAAAAGAGCCGAGGTTGCCTACCCCTGTGCTATACCATTCCAAACAAATGGCTGTCCAATCTCCTCTTGAAACCCTCCAGTGATGGAACACCCAGAACTTCTGAAGGCAAGCCATTCCACTGAATAATTGTTCTCGCTGTGAAGAAATTTCTTCCTAGTTCTAGGTTGGATCTCTCTTTGATGATCTTCCACCCATTACTTCTTGTCCTGCCCTCTGATGCTTCAGAGAATAAATTGACCCCCTCTTCTCTGTGGCAGCCCGTTAAGTATTGGAAGAAAGCTATCATGTGATCACTCTTCTCTTTGATAGGCTATACATACTTAATTCCCTCAACCATTCATCAGCTGGTTTAGCTCTAAACCTCTTACCATCTTTGTTGCTCTTTTCTGCACTCTTTCGCAGTATCCCAAGTATAGTCTCACTAGTGCAATATTATTATTATTATTATTATTATTAATAATAATAATAATAATAATAATAATAATAATAATAATAATAATAATAATAATAATAATAATAAAAAGTTGGAAGGGACTTTGGAGGTCAAGTCCAACCCCCTGATCAGGCAGGTAACCCTATACCATTTCGGACAAATGGTTGTCCAGTTTCTTCTTAAAAACTTCCAGTGTTGGAGCATTCACCGCTTCTGGAGGCAGGTTGTTCCACTGGTTAATTGTTCTAACTGTCAGGAAGTTTCTCCTTAGTTCTATGTTGCTTCTCTCTTTGGTTAGTTTCCAACCATTGCTTCTTGTCCTGCCTTCAGGCTCTTTAGAGAATAGCTTGACTCCCTCTTCTTTGTGGCAGCCCCTGAGATATTGAAACACTGCTATCATGTCCCCCCTCGTCCTTCTCTTCATTAAACTAGACATACCCAATTCCAGCAACCATTCCTTATATGTTTTAACCTCCAGTCCGCTAATCATCTTTGTTGCTCTTCTCTGTACTCTTTCTAGAGTCTCAACATCTTTTTTACATCATGGTGGTCAAAACTGGATGCAGTATTCCAAGTGTGGCCTTAACAAGGCATTGTAAAGTGGTATTAATACTTCACGTGATCTTGATTCTATCCCTCTGTTAATGCAGCCTAGCACTGTGTTGGCTTTTTTGGCAGCTGCAGCACACTGCTGGCTCATATTTAAATGATTGTCCACTAGGACGCTGAGATTCCTCTCACAGTTACTACTATTGAGCAAGGTACCCCCTATACTATACCTGTACATTTGGTTTTTCTTGCCTAAATGTAGAACCTTACTTTTTTCACCATTGAATTTCATTTTGTTAGATAGCGCCCAGTGTTCAAGTCTGTCCAGATCCTCCTGTATCCTAAGCCTGTCTTCTGGAGTGTTGGCTATTCCTGCCAGCT